CGTAAAGGTCTTGCATCAATGTGATGCATGCACAGAAAGTTTGTAGCTTTGAGGTCCAGATTATGGGTGTCCGAATAAACAACTTTTGACTGTACTAGCTTTAAATGGATTTATTAACATATTGTAAATTTCATTACTCATAACATAAAAATTAACCATTTGTAAAGTTAAAATATTAGCTAAATACTAATATAATACAATATAAATATTGACTACTTCAAATTTTAATTAATATTTAATATTATAATTTGTAATTTAAAATATTAACTTTTGTAAATTTCACTACTCATAACACAATCACTGCCAGAAATTCATTTACGGCATTGTTTCAAGAATTTATCATAGCAGTAGAAATGTTGAAAATTTGAGAAAGACTTTTTTTTTTTGCAGTATTCTAATCAAGAGTTTATTTTTTAAATGGTTATTTAGTCTAGATATCCTTAACAGATTTTGTTGACAATCCGCCGTTTTTTTCCAATCCTTTAAGTCGGGTCTATCTTGGTGGCAAACGATTGTCCCCAAATAAAAAAATCGCCAAAAGGACCAATACGAAAGCTGTTCGTATTTTGGTATAAATGTAACAGTTTACCTGAAAAGTACAATTTTTTCTTCAAAAAACACGAGCTGGGTCTTTTAGACCCAGGGGGCACATTCGTATAACTCAAAAGAGCGTGCGTGCTTCCGGGTTAAAAAATGTATTCATGAAGAGACTCATTTTCAACAAAGAATCCTTTTTCTGTAGTGAAACACCGTTAAAGGTAATACCTAAGTCAAGCTCCCTATAATAATAAACTAGTAATTTCAGCATCAGTCTTTTTCTCCCCTAAGTTAGGTTTCTTCTTGATTAAATGCATAGTAATCATTTGTTCTCTAAACTGTTGAAGAAAGGAATTATTTTCTGTGTATGTGTTTTGGATTTTACTTTGTGAATTGGGGAGTTTAATGTCACTAAATAGACTGATTCATTATTTTCAAATTATGAAAACATGCATTTGGATGTTATTGTTTATATGCTCGAATGAATATTGATGTTTGGATGGTGATGGCCTAATAGTGTTCCTAAAATAAATAACTTCTTTTGAAATGTATTACAGTTTTTTTTTTTTTTTTTTTTTGTCACATGTATGAACTCTTGTCAATTTCAACTATTTTTCCAGGCCCACCTATTTATTCTGTATGTTGTTGAAGTAAATATAGTGAACAAACTTCTCTTGAAATTGTTCCAGTCAATCATAGTATTTTGACCCACGTTTGAGCTGTTTATCATACCACTTAAGCAATGTTGGCTCCTCTACTCAACAGTAGGAATTCTGGCACCACTGAATAAGTAGTCAGATCGAATGCTTTTCTTTTATTTATAACTTTTCAAGTTGTACCTCCACATACTTTCATTTACATAGAATTTAATTTCAGGGCCATTTATGCGTATTCGATTGTGAGGAAATATCTTTTTCCTGGAAAATCAATATGGCATGTTCTCACTCCTCGGTAAATTAAAGATTGTCAAAATTGTTTTGCGGTGTTTAAACTGAAAAAACACTTATGATATTATGTTGTTCATCAAATTCGGCAAATACAAGTTGGAAGTGAAAGCACCATTTTTTAGATAAATTTTAAACTGAAAGAAGACTTATGATTTTACGAGGTTTACATAATTTGGTGGTTTATCTGCAGAGGCTATAAAAATAAAGTTGTACCAAGCCTTGTATGACTACCACTTTGGAAGTATCCATTATTTTAATAATACTTAAAATGGTCAAAATCATAACTAATATTATATTTTTCTGAAAATAAACAGCTTTTCTGTCATTTCTAATATTTTAGCCAGTGTTTTTAGAATAAAGCCACGAATCTAGTATTAACTGCCAAAAAATTATGTGACTGTCTTAAAAACTGAGACTAATTCTTAAACACTAAGTCTGAAGAATTATTTCTCATATAACTTCATTTTGTTTTGGAAAATTATATGTGGTAGCTGATCGCATTAAACTGCCCTAAAACAGAGGAGTGAACCAAACAGAAAAGAGTAATGTCTTTGTATGTAAACAATTTTTTAGCAAATTTTTTTCTGCAGTAAAATATCAAAAAACATTGGATTAACCAAACTTTTTTGGTACAACTCCGTTTTGGGAACCGTAAAAAATTGCAGCAAAAATGTATGTGCCCATTTAAGGGGAGTTGGAACCCCAAAATCTTCAAAAAAATTGTGATTTCAGATTTTTGCATTTTCAAATTCTCTACACTTTTATCTTTCTAAAAATACCATTCTTTAATCTCTATGAAAATTAGAACTGTAAAAAAATCTAGTTTTAATTTGTTATCTACTGCTTTGATCAATGAGGATTTTTACATAAAAACGCGTTTTTCTCCAAACGTGACTTTTTTATACTCGATGTACCTTTTCTCAGGAACTACTGCTCACAGGTATCTAAACTTTTTATGGCTTATTTATTACTTTCCCTAATATTTACTGAAATGAGCTTTTTGTAATAAACTTAGAAAAAAAAAATTTTAAATTTTTTTCTGTAAGAAAAGTGTTAAATTTTACTATGCCTAACAAAATATCCTGTAATTTACTCTAAAATTCAAAATGTTTCAAAAGCTCATTTCAGTATAATCAGATAGGTATACTTTAATTACAGAAGAAATTTCAAACTTGTATCTACAGCAGATTTTGAGAAAAGGTACATCGAAAATGGCCAATTTAACATTGTCGGTATAGGGGTTTCTGATACCCTTTAACTGTGTGCCAAATCTAGCAAACATATTGATTTCAAATTGCATAAGTTTAGATAGTTCTATATTTTTAAGTCTCTATTGAAATACTAGTTTAATTTTTTTAATTTTTTATGGATTTAACAATTTGGGAATTTCCCATCGATGAAATGTCTGCAATAAAATTATTTTAAAGGAAAGGCATCGTTTATGATAGAAAATTATGTTCAAACAACCAAGAGATGAAATTGTGCTTTAGTGGTAACTCAGTAGTGAAATGTTGGTACAGGAAAGAAACCTGTAATGAGAAGAAAGGATTAAGAAGTCAAAATTGGTTTGAAGGATCGAAAATATCCTTCCATACAGCTATTAAGTTCATCTATTTTTAGTGTCAGGAAATGACATTTATTGAATTTTGTGAACTCCACCTGAAGATGAGCCAGAACACAGTTGTAGACTGGAACAGTTACATGTGTGAGGTGTGTGCTGCAGCTTTAACTGCTTAGCCTAAGTTGAAAATCGGCAGATGTGGCAAAATTATTGAAGTAGACTAAAGCCTTTTCAGTAAAAGAAAGAATAATGTTGGACATGTTCTTCCACCACAGTGGGTTTTCAGCAGATTATGCAGACAATCAAATGAATATTTCTTAATCACTGTTCCAGATCGATCGGCGAAAACCTTATTCAACATCATGAAGGAAAATATTGCAGAAGGAAGCATTATTTATACTGATTGCTGGAAATCATATAAATGTGATGAACTGAAAGATGCCGGTTTTGAACACTTTACTGTCAACCACAACTACAATTTTGTGGACTCTGAAACTGGGTGTCATATACAAACAGTAGAGTGGCTCTCAGGCAGTGCTAAATGGCGTAACAAACACCATCGGGGCATTGCTTGACAGCATTTCGATTCTTGTTTGTCTGAGTTTATGTACAGACGTTTGCACAAAAAAAATGAAATATTCTCTATGTTGGATGACCAACAATTTTATGCCTCCCATTTAATTTCAGGTGTGTTAAGCCTTTTTTTAATAGATTAAAATAATCTGAAATAGTTATTTACTATTATGCTTCCATTCAGTTATGTTTAGCCTTTTTTTTATAAATTATAATATTAAAAAAATGTGTTACAAATTTTCTTTCGTCTTGACGTTCGTTACGGGGTTCGTAAATTTGAAGTGAATAACGAGAACAGCACTTGATGAAGTATCAAAACACACTTTGTTGGCCAGTATTATTCAAAACAGCTCCAATAACGTGTTTACAATCAGCAAGTTACAGTGTGGATGACTGCGCACAAGAATGATTGTGAAACACAATTTTAATGCAGCATTTTTACTCTGAACTACATAAAGGTGGAGAAAATGGTTGCTTGCATTAGGAAGCATTTAGAAAAGACTCCGTGAAAGCATTCAAAAGAGTGAGAAGTTTGATACATTTGCTTTGATTTCCAAATTTATATTAAAATGTTTTACTTCTTTTGATTATTTCACACATTTTTTGTGTATATTAGATGCAAACTGAAATAATAAGACACAGTTTTCCCACTGACAGTTGAGCCATGTGGTTCGGACATAGCCAGAAACTCAAGTGCATTTGCAAATTAGGGCAGTTTTCATCAATATTTATAGAATATTACAGATTAAGTTTGAAAATAACAGAAAATTTCATTAACTTTTTTATTCTTCTTGCAGTGTGATTTAAACATTACTCATGTGCTTTTAATTATGAGCCTTTTGTAAATAAGCAGTAAAATTTTAATGATAGAGTTAAAATAATATGCTCTTAAAGTGAAATACAATTATGTTAAAGATTATAAAGTTTGTAGTCCCCCCCTCTTTAAATTTCTGTGTTTCAAGACACAGGTACAGGGTCCAATCAGATTCATGTATCATGGTACAAGAGGGTTTTTTAAAGTATAGGTACATGGTTTTAATGGATAATATGTTAGAAGTATGCCAGTTTTCTTTTCAATGCATATTTACCCTCTAACTAGTATATAGTATATTTTAGGTTAAAATAACATGCCGAATAACAATTATTAGAGAAGTTAAACAACAAGAATCGGTGTAGACAAAGATTACACAGATTCTTGTTGTTTAACTTCTCCAATATAGTATATTTATTGAAAATGTGATATGTTTGCTATAAATAAAGATTTATATTCTGAAAATTAATTTGTATTTTTTAGTTTGTATGACTTAATGGCCTAATTTCCTATTTCAGAGCAACTTTAGCAATTAGTGGTATCCTTTCCTTCTTTGTTGTGAAAAAACTAGTCACAATTCAGCGAGTTGAAGCTATGAAAGCAAGAGAACGCATGGCCAAATCAAATGTTGGAGAATATGAAGTGAAAAGGAAGTTTGCCTAAATAGCACATATTTTACTATTGTGCTTAATTTTCACATCTGTTATTTATCTATATTCTAATTTTGTTTTAAAATGGCACTTAGTAGTGGTATTAAACTTGATGCATCCAAAATGCAGTTGGTACAAAATTTAGAGATAGAAATGATGTCCGATATGTATAATCGTATGACTGCGGCATGCCATCAAAAATGCATTGATACGAAGTACCATGAACCTGAACTTGCTAAAGGTGAAAGTGTCTGTTTAGATAGATGTGTTGCTAAATACTTAGATGTACATGAAAGAATTGGACAAAAACTTACTTCCATGAGTGCACAAGATGAAGAAGCTGCTAAAAAGTTATTAGAACAGCAACAGAAGTCTGCTTAGTAACGTTAGAATTGATGACTTAGCATATGTTTTTAAAAACATGAAAGTTTGTGAAAGTAATAGTTATAGATAATTGAAATATATATGTTTAGTAATTTTTATTTCTGTGTATTGTTCAAGCAGAATACTCATTTATTCTTTTTCAAATCTTAATGCATTACTTAATGTCATTGTTTTCCAGAAACCTGATTTTGTAGTAATTTCATGCTAAATTTATATTAAATAAAATCTGGAAAATTTGAGGACTAAATGTCCCATAATGTAAATAAAAATGTTTAACTGAAAATGTTCTTGTATAACATTACTTTATTACATAATTGATATTTACCAAGTTTTATAATATTGAAAAACTTGTACATTATCAAATTCTCTTTATAGTAAAACTTTCTGTAATCATAATTATCAGTGATGTTTTTATATCACAGCAAATTTTCTTAAAACCATCTCTTATTTAATTAAAAATATTCTTGTGTAATATGATAATTTTTACATCAAGTTCTCTTTATAGTAAAACATCCTGTAATAAGCATAATGTTTATTGCTGCTTTTAAATCATTGTCTTGAATCAAGGTTTCATTTCTCTAAAAGTATGACAATCTGAAAAGTCTCTAAGAATCTAAAAGTCTGCAGTCTGACAGTTTTTAATTCAGATTCTTAGGATTAAAAAGGAGTAGAAATTTGTGGCTTTGCAAGGGAAAAAAAAAATGGCTAGTGCCTGCCATAAAAAGGAGTATAAAACAGCTAAAAGAATAAAGATTATAAAAAACAAAGTATGAAATAAGAAGCACTGATAAATTTATTGTCAGAAGAGAATATATTCCATGAATGCATTACAACACTCAAGATAATTTCTTGATTCCACTTGAAATATATCCAAGAGTTGTAAAATGTGAATGAAAGTGAAGTTTTCAGTTTTTTAATATACATAATATTCTGCATTCATTCTAGTTTGTTTTATTGCATATTTTGGTTTTAATTTAGGAAAATACTAAAATAAATCATCTATAAAAATTTATGATAGTGAAATTTATAAGTTTCAATAAGCCTTAACTGTTAAAAATCATTTTTAGTAGCATACAACCTGTAAAATCAAAATGGAATGGTAAATAGAATATTGGTGATTTTTTAAAACTTAACATTTTATGATTACTATTTTCAATAAGCAACATATGTTTTATATTTTATGAGATTCACATGAAACTTAGTTCATTATAAAGTTCATTCTAGCCTTTTGTGCAGAAGCAGCTCAAGCAATCTTAGCACACTTTATCCTAAGAACGGAAAAAAAAAAAAAAAAAAAAAAAAAAAAAAAAATGGTGGTAGGAAAGAGGAATAAGTGATATTCATTTATGTTTTCACAAACATTCCTGTCTATGTATTAGTTTAAAATTTGAATGAAACTTTACAATATAACTATCATGTTTTCATCCATAAGAGGGTAAACAATTTTAGTGTGGAAAAAAACCATAGAGTGGTTTGAGGATATTAAAGATAAAAATCATTGATTGCAAGAATTCATATTTTTTAATATCTTAATAAGGGAAAAGAAAAATTAACATATCTGAAAATCAAATATGTAATTTAATTATGCAGTGAAAAAGGATTTTTATAAGCTTTAACTCACTCGTGATGTGTGTTGCTTTAAAGTTGTTGAAGTTGTTGAGCTCAAATTTCACACCGACACTTTTTGTGAATGAAAATGCAATGTAGAAGAGATTTTTTTTTTTTCAAAAATCTGATTTAGTTTTCTTTTTTCATTTCATGTTGAAATTATTTTTCGCACATATTTTCATTTAGCAAACAAACTAACAACCAGAATTTTATTATTCAGGTACAGTAGAAAAAGTTTATTTAAATGGATTTATATGAAATTTTTAACACTATCCTAAATCTTTCAGTTTTTTTCCTAATACTTGGTGTCTGTTACTTTAAAATTTCAATATCTATTTGCCCTATTTTCAGAAATTATGAAAGAAACTCTTCACCTTCTTTAAAAACAAGCATGATGAAAAGATATAAACTGCAGTATTTTCTGTATGTTTCTTAAAATAATTTTCTATACATTTCTTAAAATATGCTACAGACTTTAAAAGTAGAAGGGTATACATTTGGTGTCACATGATTTGCTTGAAGTTCCAAAGTCATTATGTGTTACCCATATAAATTTCTGTAACTTTGATTTTATTTATGCATTTATTAATCTTCACCTTATTTGAAAGAATTACATAGAAATTAAGCTTACTAATAGAAGTCCTCTGCCATATTATAAATGCTTTTTCTCTCTTTCTTTATAGATAGATTTACTATAACATTACCTTTCAGTAATCCCCAAAACAAGAAAGCTTAACTGATTTGCATTTAAAATTCAAGCGAATTGTTAGAAGTAAAAAAGTAATTATTCATCATTGAAAAACGATTTTCAATTGAATAATTCAGATTAAAAAGAAGAAAATTAAGTTTTTATTTAAAACTTGTAAAATAATTACTGAACTAAAAAACAAATTTTATTTATCATATCATTTAATGGGAATAGGAGTAAATAATTTTTTTCAAAAATTCATTTACAAATTTATATCATAGATGCCTAAATGTGTATGTAATATGTGGGTGACTAAATAATAAAATTTAGTAAATAAAATATAAATCTTTTTAAATTTGTCTAGGGTGTATCAAGCTTTTATTACATATGATATAACATTGGAAATGAATTTTGTGAAGAAAATGTTTTAATATGTTATCACTGAACTATATGATAAATTATAATTTTTCTTTTAGCTCATTGTTTTATGAGCTTTAAATAAAAGCTTCTTCTAAAAACTTTTTTTTTTTTTTAAATTTATTAAAAGTTTTTAACTCTTCCCCTTTGCACTGTTCTATATACATTCATTTTCCACATATTTAATTGTATTTCATAAGAAATTTTCTTTATTTCCATTCCATTGAACTAATATTGCTATTGTAATAGTTGTATAAAACTGGTTTTAAAGTTTAAATGATTTCATTATTCTAAGATCCAAACATTATAATTTGCTAGTTATATTAGGTTGGGAAAACAATACAAAAGATTTAATACTTTAGGCAAATATTATATTAACAATATTGTTATTTTAGGATAAAACCATCGAAACTAGTCCTGTGAAAATTTTGAAAATTAACGCTGATTTTTGTTGTTTGATTTCTGAATTAGTACTTATTCGGCGTGTTATTGTGTTTTAATCATGAATAATAAATTTATAAATATTTAAATTATATCTGAACTAAAAAAATAAACCAAAATAAATCAGTTCAAGAAAAAGCAATCTCTTTTTTTTTTTATTATTATTTTCTAGAGATTTTTATTAAATATAATATGTGAAAAAAATAATTATTTTTACAGAAAAACTATACATTAAGTATATTATAATTTTATATAACATAAGGATAAAAAAAAAATATGTAAAAATTGTAGAATACTCTAGTAACCTTCCTTTCTAAATTATGCTTTAACTTCATATAGATTTTATATCATAACTACATCTTTACAATAAGTAATTTAATGTTGAACCTAGTCTGGCAGATAATGTTAAATTTTTATATTTGACATGTTTGGATATATATATATATATATATATCCAAACATGTCAAAACATAAAACTTTTATAATTAAAATTTTTTGGAAATGTTAGTTTTTGGTTATCTAATAGAGGATGAGTTAGAACTATGACTACATATTTTAAGTAAATGTAGTTCATTACTACATATAATGGTGGGAAATGGTTGAAACTTCCTTTTTTCATTTCAAATAGAAATAAAGTTCTCAGACTTGTATCATCTACTGACATGCAGCAGGAAACTGCATACCAGGATAACTGCAAGACATTAAAATGCAGCATTGTTGCTGTTGAAAAAAGAATTTAAGGGACACTGCTTGGCAGCAGAACTGAACTCATGTAAGATAGAAACTAAATATCGGTTGATTAGGCAGTATAATTTCTGTGAAGGTTGGTCCACCTAATAATAGGACAAGTGATAATATGTATATAAACGATAACAAATGGTAAATGAAAATGAACCACTGGATGCTTTGTGTTAATGTACGGGCTGCCATGGTTTAATGAATGTGTGTTTTTATATGGTGCATCTTAGCCAGGAACTTTCGATTTGTAAAAAACGAAGTGAACTTGCTTAATGATGTGTCCAGACAATGCCCTAGGAATTGAGTAAGAGCATGATTATTATTAAATTTTTAAAGTATTTGAGTTGAACTTTGATAATGTACAGTCTTGGTAACATTTATGTATTAATGCGAAATAGTAGGGGGATGTTTAAATTAACGCGCATACTATCAAGGGAATATGTCCAATATTTATGGAAGAAATTCCATTTCTGTATCCCAATGATTTTTAAAGAAAAACTTAAAAGCAACAAGTCATACTTGAAAACAACCACTGCATTTCTTGAAAAAATGAAAACTGACATAGATGTTACACATAATTTTTTAATGCATTCCTGTTAAATCGTGATGTTTCGGACTGTTATGCCTTTGGTATCTTGAAAACTCATCTTTCTAATTGTAAACCTACCACAATTCACAGACTCTAGTAAGAAGAAGAATAGGAATCGATACCGCTGGACATTTTATGAAATTTGTTCTAAAACAAGTAAACACCAGCTACATATAATGTATTGAAACAAATACTTTAAAAGTAAGATAATTCGGTAGAAAATACCATGTATATTTACAGAAGATAATCGGAATGAAATTATTTAAATAACAGTTCACAGTATCTTTGTCTTTTGCTAGTAAACCTACATTTGTTGTTCTTTCTCATTACCTCTAAATATTTATGCATTGTGCAGCAAGAATCTGCAATTATGATTTCTTTTTCACTTTTTTATAAAGTGCTTCTCACAGCATTTTCAGTGAAAATTTTTAATTGCAAAATATAAAGTATTAATTTCATACATAAGTTTGATAACATTTGTTAGATATGATGCTTTCTGAATACATATATTTCTGAATCGAATGAAAAACACCAACTCATTGGTGACTTTATTTATGGCAAAAAAAGTTTGTTTTCCTATTTTCATACCTCATAAATAATAATATAAAGATTCACTTTTCGAGAAAGAACACAAAAATTCACATGGCTGATTTAATAATTGATGGGTATTGTTCAGCTATGGCCTTCACACAAGTTTTTATAACTTTAATACTTAATAATTTCAAAATCACAATAACAACCTTGTACATTTATTAACACACTCAATCGATTTATTAAATTAACATTTATTAAAACACTGTAGGGCAGCTACAGGTCCCTCCTCATCAGGAGAACAAAATTACTAGAAAAGGAAAGTAATCTCTGTAATGGCTTTTTATACCCTCGGTAGTACCACGTGCAAGGAGGCAACACCAACTATCGGCAAAAATAATAACTAAGAATTTCAAAAGCGTTAGGAAGGACTGGATTGGACTTAAAATCATTCACTAAACATGCTAAATTTTTGTGAATATGAAAAGCCTCAAGAAAATCCAATTCACCAACGGAAGAAAACTTTTTGGATAATTTTTGCAGATCCAAAGTCAAAATTATGATTAAATTTCCAATTATGATACGCTATTGAAGACTTGTTAATTTCGCCTTTTCGGACATAAGATTCATGTTTCTTGATATGAAACTTTAACGCTTTGGTTTTAACGCAGTGTGGCTTGATATACATTGGCTAAACAAAAATTGTTTGCCCAATATATCTCAAGTCACACTGACACAATATACTATAAATTCCCCAAGAATTAAAGTCAGAAATGCAATCTTTTAGAATCGAACCATGAATTTTATTGATAGGGGAGAAACTGACTTGAAAATTGAATTTCTGGAGAATCCGTGCAACTTTATAACTAACAGAAGGATAAAATGGAAGCACAACAAGGTCAATATTATTTCTAACAGTGGAATGTCTTCTTTGATGGGAATCTGAAAAATTTTTAACGGCTTTATCAATGATCACGGGAGAAAATCCTCGGTCAATAGCAAATGGTCTCAAATAATTAAGTTAACTGGTAAGCAAAATATTCTGAGGAACAAACTGAACATGTGAAATACATAATAATAAAAAGAAACCATTTTTTGCTTAACAGAGTGGTGTCACATAGCATGGGGTGGTAAACAACGTTAACATTTTTATCGCAATTTACAAAAAAAAAAAAAAGCTATGTTTTTAAACTTTGCTATGAATAGTTGCTGTTTACTTTTAAATAGAGTTTCAAATAATAAACAAAAAAAATTACTCCAAAAAGAAATTTTAAAAAAGTACATATATATATGCACATATTAAATAGTAACTAATAAAGTAAGCATAAAATTTTATAAATAAAAACTGCTACAGAAAGTAGCAACTTATTTCTGTGCATAAGAAAGCCAATTAAAAATAAGTGCTGGCTCTAGAGTCTAGAGAGTGCTTTCTTAGCCAATATTTAGAAATATATCCTGAAACAGTATTTATTAGAATATACTAATTATAATCTTCTCACCATCTTTTCTCTCTGTATAAAATATTTACTCTCATAAGAGCTTTTTCAAAAATGGAAGAAGGAAAATTACAAATTTATTCATAATTAATACTTAAGTGTTAATAAATGTATGTGTTTATTTATTATTACACATGTTCTATGCATCTCCTTTTCTTTCATATTATCTTCCAGAGAAACTTTATAGATATGGGTCACAATGAATTGACACTAAATGCATGTGGGTAGCAAGGTTAAAATATTTTATAAATACTGGTATAGAGCAAAATAATTTAATGCTTCTTCATTATGGATAGGTATTTTACACTACATTCACATTTGTAAGTTTTTCTTAAATAAATATAAATTTCGACCCCATGAAGTTTCACCAAAGCAAGCATGAAATTTCATATCACATTCAGACTGTAGAAATTTTTTAATATGTTCAGCAATTTCTTTTACTTGCAATTTTTTTATTGCAAATACTTCATGATTCAATCGTGTCATTCTCCTAACAGCTGCTTTGTAGCATTTCCATTCTTGGGGTTCTAGCAATACGAATTTAGTAATGTTAGACACAGTTTTAAGAAAATTATTCAAGCCATTATCACCATAATTTAAATGTATCCACATTGTTGTAGAAAAACATGTAATCAAGTCAAATTCAGTTCTGTTATATTTTTCAAGAAATGCAGTTAGTTGAGCTGTTGAATTTTCATCCATGATGTTGATTTGTTGATAAGTAACGAATTCAGAATATTGATTACTTTCATTACATCTAGTTATCAACATATCATCTAGATCGATCCCTAATACATACACTTCTCGTCCATCAATATTTGAAGTCAGATGAGAGTAAAGTCCAGCAGTTAGATCCTACAACAGAAAAATAATTTAAATGTAAAATAGTCTGTGAATACATTACATACATAATGTACAAATATAATACAGAATACGTTCTTGCAATTTTATTACACATATAATATATTAAAACTGTCAGAAAGTATTCTAAATATTAATCATTTTATGTATAAAGGGGTCCTGTAAACAATATATGAACTCTGCATATCCAATGCAAGTAAAATAAACTCTGTTATAAACATTATAAACTTTGTTATAAACATTTATTATCACTTTATTTGATTTTTACATCAAACAGCAAGTTCAAAATGATCAATTAAAAATAACATCTACAGTGAAATTCGCAGGTTCAAGATAGATCCCCCCCCTTGAAAACAATGAAAATAATTCTAATAACCTGCAAGTTATCTATATTCTTTTGATTGTTTTCAATAGCAGTAATTTTGTTACTTTAAATGCAACAATCATAACATGCTCATATTACATTTATCATCCCTACTCAATACCCACTGTTATTAGTAAATCAACAGTTTATTTTAAAAGCTCTGGTGTTCTTTAATGCTTTGAATTGTTATGCCCAATGCAGTATCATAATTTTTCATTCACATATTTCTGGAGAACTTTGGATAGTAAGAAGGTTTAAAAGTTAAAATTTTTTTGGAAACTATTTATTAAGCAGCTAAAAGATTCATAATAACTACATAACACAATGATTAGATCACATAGTACTAAGATTACAATAATTATTAAATAAAATTACAGTAATTAGTTTTAAACAATTTTCTTAATTGTAAAAAATTCAAGTACTACAATAAAATTTTTGAGAAAAGGAGGGGCAGAGAATGCAAATATAACTGCAACAGGGGTCACATGATTATGAGAATGAAAATGATGAAGTTTGTGAGATTTTTTCCCTCTAATAAGGTTGCAGGCATATAATTTCAAGTTCCTTTTTACTTGAGCATATTATAGCATAATTGCATTATAATTACAATGAATCAGGGCAAGATGCAAAGCAGGTGCTCATTCCAATTTTTATAGCTGGTAAACGCAATCATTAAAAAGAAATTGTTACTGTGATAGCTTAAGAAATACCAGTGTTCTTTTATTTCTTAATAAACAGAGAGTAATGCTTTATAATATTCATTAATAAAAGTTTTTATCTATTATCAGAAAATGTTTCTACTTTTGCCATTATATGAGTGATTACTGCATCACTTGTATTATAGCCTGTGTCCATAAAATTATTGGTCTTTATTTTTAGAACTGTTGTTTATAGACATAAAAAATGTTTTAAATGATGAAAATATTCATGCTTTGGGATGTTCAAATTAAAAAAAAAAATAAAAAAAACATTTTTGGTTTGGTCCTTCATTTCCTGGATTTATATTTAGAAAAATTTGATACTAATTATAAAAAATAAAGTGCAAAACGTTTGTCAATTCCAATCTGCCTTGAGTTAATAAATAGATTACAATGATTGTGGAATATTTTTGAATTTATAATTTTGTTACAGTTGGTATGCCAAAAGAATTTTCACAACAAGTTTTCAAACCCTAAAAATATCGGTACTTTTCTGTACACAGCTGAAAAGTTGCAAAAAAGTACTCAATGCAATGCGGTATATTGCCAAAATAGCTAGGTGGCAACCCACAATGTTGCCAAAAGTATCTATGTGACAAGCCAGATACGTGCATAGCATGCTGGTTTTGATCAGTATGCAATGCAAGTTGTACAGAGCCAAGTTTGCATAGTTCTCTGATTTTTCTAAATGAAAACAGACTGCTGTGTACACGGGAAGAATAACAACACAAGAATAATTTCTTGAAAAATATAAGTTTTTTTTTTTTTTTTTAATTTTATTTTATCGGTTGATTGCTATTGTATGAAATTTTTAGTACATCCAGATTTTGAAAATTGCTCTTGCCTTTCATGTATTAGCTTCGTGAAAAATTAGTTGCCAGCGAGTTTCCTAGTGCTCCATACAGTCATCAATGAGTTCGCAACTTTTTAGTGCAGGTGTGGATAACCAAAAAGCACCAAAATACAGTATTAATATTCTCATGAAGTTCTATTATTTGAAAATTAATATCTAATAATCATAAAAAAATTCATTAAACTAGAAATATTTTTAATTTTTTAAATTGAAATTATTACAATTACAAACTGAAAATTATGTTACAAATTGGCTGTGTGCAAGTATTGAAATCTGCCAATGTTTTCTGGAATGCAAATTTTATAAGATTCTGTAAATAAAAATCTCTTTTTTAAAAAGCTTTATATTAACTTAAATTTCTCATGACAATCTGCACAGAAATTCTCATTACTTAATAGGTAAACAATAAAACACTTTCTTAACTGATACTTTATTTTTAGTTATGTACTAATGCAAATATTTCACTCTTCAATTTATGCATGATTCCTGAATACAATGTCTGAATTTAAAATGAAATATCTTAAATAATGATAAATAAGTAAAAATTAAATGAAAATATCATAAAATGATATGTGTTATCTAGACCAGAGTTTCTTGAGCTTTTTGGTGTGGGCATCCCATAATATTTACGAAACTTTTGCGGGACCCCCATAAGCATTGCGCAAATCCAACACACATGTGAGTGAAACTGTCAGTTTCTTCACTTGTAATGTAATATACTATTGTACTTTTAGACCATTAATGTAAATTTTTTAAAGTAAAATAAACATTTCTATTATTAAAAAAGTGTCAAAACATTTAATTTTTCTTTGTATTGCCTTATCTTTATTTTCAGATACATTATGTAAAAATATTTGGTTAAAATTTTTGTCGATGCCCTACTGCAGGACCAGCAACTCACAGTTTCAGAAACTCTGATCTAGATCATGAAACTGTTGCCAGTGGATAAGCCTTGAGATACTAACACATTCATAACATCTGCACTGTTGTTTGATGTAACATTGATTGATTTTTGATAAGCTATATCTTGTTTTTTGAATAAGGATATTAATTAGCTGTTATTGCTGTATATTTTCTTTCTTATTGAAAAGAAGAAAGATGATTAAAATTTGGGACTTTTCTTCTACGGAACAGCAGACACTGGATTTTTCCAAAGTTATGGAATCCTACTATCAAAAAAAGAGTATATTAATGAACGTGATATGGTCAGCTAAACACGGCCAACCAAACAGTAATTAGATTAGAATAATTACCTAAAGGAAGTTTGTATTATTAGTGTTCTAAACAGAGCCTCCAGTAAAATCAGAAAGTGTAATAATATAATAGAAATTGACAAAAATGAAATGCGAATGATGTAGCGAGTAAAATACTGATTGTTTATTAAAAAAAAGAGCTACCAGTTCATTCATCATTATGTGAGAATGATTGCCACAATTTTGGCAGTATCTCTACAAATTTTCAGGGTAAATGCTCATTTTATGGGTACTTAACTATTATCCCAAGCTCAATGGGATAATATGCAAGTACTCATGAAATGATAAATTTTAAAAAGTGTCATCAAAATTAAATAAAACAGTAAATTTAGTAATAAGACATATTAGTATTACTCCCAATCGGATAAAACAGCTACCTCATTTGGGCTTCTTATAACATTTAAAGCTTTCTTACAGTGAAAGTTATCTTCATTACATGAATACAGATTATGAAAGTTCTACTTGAAATGATAACATAAGATTTTTCTGTTTCAGCTCTTCAAATTTTCTGTGTATTTTGCTTCTTCCAGAGGAAATGAGACATTAATTTTCTGCTATTAATATCAACTTTATAATTCTTAATAAAATACTCCAATAATAAGAAACATTTTTGTTAATATTATAATTAAGTTATACAGTGTGTTCGTTTAAAAACAGCTATGGAAAAAAATCATTATCCAAGTCTTGTATTTCTTACAGGTATGCAACAATATCATTATTTGAGTTTTGTAGGTATTAATTAATTTTATTGTTCACTTCTGTCCATTGTTAAAGTTAGTTTACATAACCTCTACACTTTCCCTAAAACAACTGAACAATAATGGGAAATAATAAAAACATAAGACTTCATGATTTTGTTCCATACCAGTTTTCAAATGGAAGCACAGTTGAAGAAAGTACTAGAGCTCATTCTATTTGAGGCTCTTAGTACTTTTATAATTACAGTTTCAAATGGAAATTTCTTGGTACTTAAGATTTCAAATAGAACTTTATCAGTATTGTAGCTCAATCTTTACCCTGAATTTAGAAATTTTAATAAGAATTTTAGCAAATAATTCTTTTTAGAAAGACTTAAATTAAGCCCTAAACTCGGAAATCTCAATGGAAAAGCAATTATGCATTGTGTTTCGTCTTTTCTATAAATCACTGCTTGATTACAACTATTATCATTTTTCTAAATACAGTCAAAAGTCGTTAATCCGAACCTCAAAGCTACAAACTTTCTGCGCATGCGTCAATGCATAATACCTTTACGCATGTATGTTTAATGTATAACGGACGGTATAAGCTAAGCTAAAATTATCTATTTCAGTTAATGTTGCAGATTGCGTTGTTCCTTAATCTTCAAATTGAATGCCGCTTATTATTTTTTGCAGACTGTTAGAGCAATTTTATAAAAGTAAGCTTGAACTTTCGATTATGTCAAATAGAATTTCCGATTCTGGAACTGCCAAACGATCTATCTACAAAGCGAAAGCATGTTTTGATGTCGATTAAAAAAAAAGTGGAATTGCTGCAAAAAAATGGACAAAGGCATATCCTTTGATTTTCTAACCATTCCGAAATCTGTTTATCAATTTCACGCTGCTTGCGGGGGGGGGGGGGAGACATCACGGTGCGCAATGAACTGGAAGTTGATCTGTCAGCACTATCCTTATCTTCAGGGCAGATGTTTTTTATTTTATTCAGGCCTTATAATTCCTTACTAAATGTAGTATTTCATCTCGATGTACTCCGTCTTTGATATGATTTAAATCAATTCCTCGTCATTATAATATCACGATACACATCGAATAGTTTTCTGGTTGCAATTTTCTAATTTCGAC